GAATCATATTTGGCAGCTCCAAAGTTTTATTTTTTTTAGTTGCAGCTGTGATTTTGGTTTATCATACTCACCCAAACGAGCAAAGGCAGGTCTCAATTTCATATTTCCTTGCTGAAAAAAAAACCATCAGGGAATCCAATTTTCTTACAGGAGAATAGCACACACATACTGTGAGTGTTACTCAGAAGATAACAGTGCATCTGGGATTGCTCTGAGTAAGAGGACTGCAGCAGGAACCAAGCAGTTCTCCTATAATCTCCTGTGTGAGGCTAAAACTTGCTGGAGATCCCAAATGGAAACAAGTGCATTCCTAGTGCAGCTCCCTTCCGGGAGGCTGGCCAGAGCTTGAGGCTGCTTTTTCACACTAAAGCAGGAAATGACCATGGCTGAAGATACCAGGCAAACTTACCCTGCTCTAGCATGGATCTGAACACTCGGGGTGCTTCCCACAGGCACAGCAAAGGGTGGGAGAGCCCATGCACTGCAGTGTGTGAAATGAGTGGTTCCACTCTCAGTGATGCGTAGGCTGTTGTGTTGAGTGAAACTTTTGTGCTAGGGCTGTGTTTGCTTGGTCTGATGGTCCTGAGGTGCTTAACAGTAAAGGCCTGAAGAGTTGTAAGGAAGCACTTGCCTTTTTATTTCTCTGGAGCTGCTCACTTTGAATCTGGACCTTGTCACAACTGCTCTCCTCCTGTGTCATTGTGAATTCACCTCCCTCCACCAGCCGTCGTTTAAGATGCACCGTGCCAAACTTCACCTCAGGCTACCCAGATAACGGGCCTCAATACTTAATTTTTTGTAATAAAATGAATAACTCCTTTTTCAGAGAATCTGATTCCATCTCGCTGATAGGCAATGCCCTTAACAGAGTGTAGAGTGATCTTATTAATTTGTAGTTGATGAGTATACAGATAAATTATGGCTTTGTTTCTAATATTTATGTGCTTCCTATGTAAACCTGCTTCAGAACAAGCATCTAATTTTAGAAAATAAACATGCATTTGAAAGCAGGCAAATCTGAAAACTAAACATTAGCTGTGTAATATGTTTTCTTATCAGGAACGTAAGTAGTATCTTAGAATACTAACGGATGCATTATATATATTAATGAGGGATTTACCATATGCTGTACATCAGGCACCCCTCTTCTTTTACTGTTAAGGTATCCAATATTCATTTGTATTCAGTAGTGTCAGTTACAAATTGATAGCTCACAGTTATGAAATGAACGCCTATGAACTGGTAGCTACTTTGTACTTTTATCTCAACAAAGGATTTTGGGAGGATGGATAATTTAGATCTCTGAGCCTCGACTATAAATAAACAGCAACGGCTTTACAAATCCCACCCTGCTGCAGTTTAAGATTGTATTACAAAACTGACAAATGATTTGCAAAGGAGAATGATGAACCCTTATTACTAAGACACTCTTCAACTTAATCCAAAACAAGATTCCTGGGTAATTTTACGTACACTGGGAAGATTGATGGCGTGGTGCTTGCCTAGCAGCTTTCAGACGTTTGCCGGGATCGGAAATGGCACTGAGGCATGATTAAAGATTCAGTTGGGCTTCTCACAAATTCTTTATCCCACGTATTCATCATCCCCACTCGCTGCCTTTGTTAGGGTTAAGGCAGCTGACCCCCAGCCCGGGTGATTAGCACCATATACAACTGACAGACATATGGAAAAAAAATGTTTAGGTTGCCCGGAGCTTTTAGCATTGTTTATTGGTTTAAATTGTTGGGAGTGGGGACGTTAATCACAATAGATCAGGGAGAGCCTGTGACAACTGACAAGCTCATTGTTTAAGACGTTTTTTAACGAAGTTGTTAACATTAATTCTTTTATATAGTACTCTAATCTTCTTCAAATTATGTTCTGACATGGCACAAACCGCTTGGCATTGAAAGTCATTCAACAGTGATTAAAGTGCTCTTTTTATCGGTTTAAGAATGTTTCATCTTGTATCAGCAGTATGGAATTGTTTACTAATTAGATTCCCTAACATCCTCCGCTGTCGTATGCTGATGATATGTGAACAGGAAAGCTGATGAGCAAAAAAATTAAAACTTGTTATTAAACTGTCATAAGGCCCGGCATATAAAGATGTCATTCAAAAGACTGCGTTCAGAAGGGCTAAACAATGTTTACTGAGAAACTCAGCATTTTCTCAGCCCAACTCTGCATTGGCTCTGCCGTTACCCACAGCCCCAACTCTTCTGGGGAGGTAGATGCCAAGTAGGGGTCTGTTGCACAAGGACCTTCCCATCTGTCATGGTCACTATGGGCTTCCTTGGGTCCTGTTGGGATGGAGGTCCTCCCAACATCCCACCCGGCCCAGAGCATTATTGAGTCCCCTCTGTCCCTGGGCGAGTCACTTACTTAAGATCCTGCATTCACCAAAGGAATTTAGATGCTCAAATGGCTTTGGGAACCTGAGAGTTACCTTCTGTTTCTTATTTTTGTTACCATTAAGCTCCTAGGCTCGATGAGTTCACATTTGTCCATTATTCTCTGATATTTAAGCTTTATCCTCTGTCACCAAAGAGATAAATAAGACTGCATTTCTCTTAAATAATAAAAAGAAGACATACTTTTCTTCCTATGTGAGACCAATTGAAATTCTTCTACCAAACCACTCAGGACAATTGAAACACTTAGAAAGATGTAAAGATATACACAGCCAAAAAGCAAATGGCACATTGCTTACATCCACTCCTCAGTGAAACACTGGAGGCATCACATGATAAAGTGCTTTGGGCTTCCAGCCACATAATCTTTTATCACTTAAAGTAAATATCTTACATGCACACAGGGAAAACTGTTCTCTTCTTTTGGAGTTGAGGTTGTGTCAGTGTTGGAGGTATAAAGCACTGCCGTTGTGCTGTAGGATGTTCTCTGCCTGCTGAGAATTTTTTATGAGAATCATCAAATCTGGCTCATTTGAAAAGATAAATTATTGTTTGGTTTGGATTTTGAACTGCTCTGATAAACTTTCCTTTATGAATTAACTGAGTTCTCTTCAAGCTAGCCTGTTTGGCTTGGCTGGACGGATGCTTTACAGCAATAGCTTAAGGGCTCTCACTCTGCATTGAGCACTTCAGTTTAATTTTACCTTTCCAATAAAAGTCCAGTTGAATTGCTTGCAAAAACTGATAATAACACTGTTTGGGGGTTATTCTAAACAGCTGAATACAGTAAACATACCTGTGCTGTGGAGCTTTACAGGATAGTTCAAATGAGCGTAATATTGTTCTCTGTTAATATTATCTTTAGTAAACTCTTACATTTCTGCTACTGCCTTTAAGATACTTTCTCTTTTTTAAAAAATATAGTGGTTTAGTAAGAGGATTGCTTTGCATTATAGTAATTTTAAAAATATTTTGGTCTGATGATAAATATGTGCCTTAATACAGACAGGTTTGGTTTTACATTGTTATGGGAGATCATTCCTAAGACGTGGAGCCATCATTATCAGTTTAATCCCATCTTCTGAGAAAATTGCCTATCTTGCAGACAAATACGCCTTTCTTTGCTGTTACAAAATTGAGACACCTCAATTAAGGGAACTGAGGTGTTTTAGACAGGCTGCCCTTGAAGGATGAGAATGCAGAGTAGAGTTTTTGGAGGCTGACCCCCCTAACAGCACCCTGAGTTTCCCTGGTTGTGACACTGAAAGGCTGGGGAAAAAAAAAAAACAACTGCAGGAAAGTCACAAGAGGTTGAAACTCCTTCTCTTTTCCCATTAAATTATCCTAATGTGGCAACGTCTAATTTCTCTTCGTTTACTTTTTCTATCATACTTGGCAGCTTCTTTATTCTGATTCCTATCAGCTCATAATGAGTTACCACAGAAAGGACTAAGATGTACATAAATAATCACAAGATGCCAGATAAACTATCGGTTTTAAATTAGCGTTGTGCGCAGTGTCTTGCTTTGCGCTCTCACCTATTATTTTTAATTACAGTTTACAAAGGCAGCCAGTTTCATGCTCTCTTTGCATCCCTCCTGGCACTGTGCTTGCAGCCCTGAGTGCCCCATCCCTGGGGTGTACCCACTGCTGCCCACATGCCCTTCAGCTCCGGCTTTCTGTTGGAGAAATTCAGAGAAGCCCATTCATCACATAAGTTTGCTTTGTGTTTAAAAAAATAAAAGAAGAAAAAAAGAAAAAAAAAAAACTCTTATCCACAGAAGCATCTATTATACCTGCTTCTTAAAGCATTATAAGACATGAGAAAATGGTTATTAGAAAATTTAAAAAAAAAAAAAACAAACATGGAAAGGCTCGTATCTGTGCAGAACTGGCAGATAAACACATTTGCACAGCAGTGGTGACAATGGCCACAGCAAAACCACTGATCAGAGATAGATGGGCCGGTTTGGCACAAAGCCCGATTGCACTTTACGTGATAGGTCTTAATTGGAGTGCCCAGGTTAATTTTGTGCAAGAGGCTTTAAAAAAACTGACCCACCAAAATAGATGCACCCGTCAGTTTGAACTGCTTGTCAGGGTTAGGAAATGGCGGTGCCCATGTTTGGAGGTTGGAAGGGAGCTTTTAGGTGCTGCTTTGAAACTTGGATCAACTTTTCTGGTTTCTTGGATCAACTTTTCAGGTTTTAGGGTTTGTTTTTTTCAGTACCCGCTAGGGTTTATTGAAAAATAGCAAAAGAGCAGAGATCAGGTAGTGAGATTCTGGATTATTTCTTTCACTCTAAGAGCAAATAAAAAGGAAAAATAACTTCTCATCAGGGTGTGTTGTAGGTAAGTGGCTGGCAGGCAGAGAGGCAGCATCCTTAGCAATGCTTTGGTTGCAGCGCGTTCACCGATGCTCTCCTAAAGATGCACAGCTCCGACAGACTGCAAGCAAATTGACAGCGATAAAAATACCTGCATTGCTCTCTATATAAATATACCTCTATTTATGCACGCGCGCGTGTGTATATATATATATATAGGATTTTTTTCAATTTTTTTTTTTTGTTTTTGTCATTTCAGCAACAAGGAGCTGCCACGACTGTGTACTGCGCGACGGCCGCCGAGCTGGAGGGGCTGGGTGGGATGTACTTCAACAACTGCTGCCGCTGCCTGCCCTCGGCCGAGGCTCGCAATGAGCTGACGGCCGCGGCCCTGTGGGAGCTGAGCGAGAGGCTGATCCGCGAGCAGCTTGGCAGGCGGTCCCCGTGACGGAACGCCCCGCAAGCTCGGAACCTGCCAGCGCTGGAGCCCGTCCAATCTTATCATCTAGAGGGTTTCCGTATACCTCCGATAGAGATTAACCAGTGTTAAATGAAATAATAGCAGTCACAACAGAGTGAAAAATGTTAAGTACTAATGGGAAACGGGGAATACGGCGGGTTAAAGGGACAATGCGGCTTCCTGGGGCTTAGTTAGTCCTGCTTCTCTTCTTTTGATTATAGCCTGTTCAAAGTGTAACCCAAGGAGGCATGCTTTGTGCTATTGCAGAAACGCGGTGCCACGGATATTCTCTGTTGTTTTGATTAATGGGTTAGGTATGTAGCCCAATATGGGATTTCCTCTTTATTTTGATAATTACTGCCTGTTAGGCTGTAGGTATCGATCGGGATATGGTAGTGGTGTTGATTCCTTTTCCCTGCAAGGGTTTTATAGGGTGTGGCGAATAAAAAGATTATTAAGGAAAGAGATCTCTTCTGCCCTTGACTGTTGGCTGCAAATACATCCATGCTATCTAAAAACAGAGGGTGCAAGAAGACTTCTGAACAGAAATGTCAAAATCACAGCTAATTAAATATTTCTTTTGTCTTAAAAGATTATAATAAAAGATACTTTGTAAACCATTCCCTAATATCACAGAATTAGCAAAGATGATGTTGTCTTCTAAAGAATGCACAGGGTGTAATCAGGGGGTTAAGTGGTATTTTCATCCATTTCTCAGTTCACAGTTTTAAGGAGTTTGTTTTTGTTTTTTTTTCTTGGAAAATTCACAGTTTCTCAGTTCTCCTGATACTGTATCCCAATCCAAATTTCTCTATGTTTCTTTAAATTTAATAAAACAACATGCTTGCTTGAATATTGTCACCTGAAGAGAAAGTTTGTCTCATTTCTGCAAATGTCTTAGTTAATTTTTTTTTCTTAGAAAAGAAAACTTGAGGAAAAATAAAGAGCTTCTCGTTGATAGCAAGAGAATGCTGATTTTTTCTTGTTTCTTTCTGAGTTCTTTTCTTTGTTTTTTTTTTTTTTTTTAATCTGTATTTTGTGCTTTGTAGCTGTCTTCGTGCCAGAACGTTGTCCTAAGCCATCATCAGTCCAGCATCACATTTTCTGTGGACAGAATATAAACACATAAATAGAAGGACACATTGTTAATAGAAGCTTATATGACCCCCTTATTAAATGATTTATTGCTCGCAGTCTGTCTCTTACAATTTGTCTCATATGGACTCAGCTGCTGCATAGGTGTTCCAATAAGGCATGCAGTTGCCTGGGAGGAGCACTCCTAGCATCCTCCTCTGGAAAGCCCCACCATACTTCGGTAAGGAATGAGGATGTCACAGCTATACCTAAAAGCCATATACTGTGTTCACTCTAATTCTTGCATTTCCAGCTAACCCTAGCTCAGTGTGAGCTCTCCTTAGATGGCCAGCGTTCAGTCTCCTGTGCACGAGGGTGGAAATCTCTGCAGGTAAGGGCTCTCTCTTTCTGTAAACTTCAATTTCTTCAGTGGGGAAGCTGGGAGCTACTGCGCTCCGATCGAGGCTGAATCAGCTGACCCAGCTTTATACCAAGGAAATGAGGGCTTTTTCTTTCTTCCAAACCATCTTTCAACCTTCTGCCCAAGTGCAGCCTCAGCTGCTGTCAACTTCCCCACTGATGCTTTCTCGCATCCCAACGCTGCAGCCTTTCCTAAAGCAGCAATAAAAACAATATGGCCTTGCTTATATCTGCTGCACAGCCTGTGCTGCCACTGCCTTCCCTAAATAAGCAATCCTGCCCGTCATTCTTCCTCTACAGCAGGCTGTTACCCCAAGGCCAGCTCTTGCTCCTGCATTGAAACATTTGGCAGAATAAAGAAATAAAAACGGCTGTTCCAGCAAGAGCAACATCTCTTTTCAGCTTTTTTGGAAAGAAGAAAAAAAACTCTTTCTGGTCTCCTAGGTCTGTTCTGTGCTACACAGACCAGATCCTGGTATTGGGTAATGCCTGAAAGGTTTGTTGGTGTGGGTCAGAGTGCTTGCACGTTGAGGTGTTGGTTACAATCAAATTCCTTGGGTTGTCTGGAGTTTGTCTGGGGTGAAAAACTGATTAACTTCTGTCACCCGTGCAGCAGTCATCTCAAAAGGATTATTTTTCTTTTTCATACCAAAAAATGAATTACTCTCATACGCCAACACCCCCAGCCCAGGAGAGCAGGGCTGTGCACCATGACTGGCACTGCTCAGTGCTTAAAGAGGTTGCCCACCTTCCTTCAAAGAACACCCGGGCACTAATTTTCTTCCCACGTAGTTCCCTCTTTCATTATTAGGAGGAAAAAGCATTTTCAACGTCAGCATAGTTTTGCATTAGTTTGAAAGCAAGCTGCCTGGTGACTTTATGGAGTTGATCAGTTTCTGGTCAATAAATACTGGCACTGGTGCATTACCATAGCTAACTAGCATGTAACTGTCCCCATTTTCTCCAACTCAGGTAAAATCTCTCAGTGAGTGTTTTCTCACTCTTGCTTTCTCTTGTTCTCTTTCTTTTTCTTTTTCCTTTTTTTTTTTTTTTTT